AGTTAGACCCCGAGATGGTTCAGTTAACTATTCAGATCGAGTCGAGCATCTTAACAGCTATTTTTAATCAGTCTGAGCATAGTACTTTGTAATTGTTTATATATGTCGCAGTTTTGCAGGCAATCAACACTTACATTTTCAGATCAGCAGTTCAGGTGGTGACTCAGACTGGTATTACATTGATTATAATTACGCTTCCATGTTTGAGGTATGTATTATCAGTATCCGCTCGGAATGGTCGCCGGTCCATTCTGGGTTCTAGTGGCCTTAGTCTGCCCACTAGAGTGTGTACATGGTGTCTGGTATATTTATGCTGGCAGATGTTCAGTTATCAGTCAGGTGATGATTATCACGACATCAATATCAAATCATGATTATCCAGTACTGGTTTCAGTTTCAGTTCAGTTCAGTTCAGTTATATATGCCAGGATCATGATATTGTTATTATTTTCACTGTTTACTTTAGTATGAGTTTCTGCGGAGCACAGTGGATTAGTGCTCACGCCCCCACATTATTCATATTTTTTAGGTAACAGGGTTGGAGCCGGGGAGTGAGCTGGCGAGCGGTTCAAGAATTTTGTATATATGTTTAAACATGTTTTGGCTACACTATGTTTTCCGCCGACGATTTCAGTTTATCAAACCAGCTTTTATTCCGACTTTCAGTCGGTTAATATATTACGTTAAACCGTTGGTTTTCTTTAAAACTAAAATAACGGTTTTTCAGATTAAGTCATGTTTGATGGTAGCACTCCGAATAAGTATTTCGCAAATGAAATGTTTTATTTTGAAAAACTTTGCGAAAAACGTGCTCTGATTTTCATAAAATAGTTGTGTGTTACAGATGGTATCAGAGCACGTTTCTGCGTCTCTGAAAACTTTTATGAGTCAGAAAAGTTTTATAAAACCTGAACACGTCACGCTCACGTCTCGCCGACTACAGGTAAGTGATGATTCATGTTTTAAATTATAAACAAATTACTATATCTATGCTCAGCAACCCTCAGTTATGACTTAGTTAATATGCTCGAATCATGTTCAGGATCAGTAGTCAGTATACTCAGGATTTAATGTCGGTATTTCTTAGTCATGTTTAGCAACTAGTCAAGAGATATGTGTGCTTTGTTGATCAGCTTCGAATTACTATGTTTATACTCAGTATGATGTCATCAGTAAGGATGCTCGAATCAGAATTCAGAACCATAGAAAGAAGCTAACTTTGAGAACTCTAGATTAAATTCTAGATTTACTCAGGTCAAGTTCACGACTAGTCAAGAGATTTGTAAACACTTGTGTTATACAAATCTTAAAAATCATGCTCTTCAGACATTTTTCTATCAAAATTGCCCATTTTTTTCAACCAGTTGGCACATTCCAGGGAGAAATTCCTTGCCCGAGATCAGGGAATAGAC